TAAGTTTTTGAAGAATCATGAATTAGCTTTGTTATGAGTAGTAAAATCTCATTTATTTTCAACGCTCAAAGGAAGGATTTCTTTTATAAGATAATGATATTCCATCAGAAAACATCTTTAAGTATCCTTGTTCTAACTCTTTTAGGTTGGAGGTTGAGGAGATTATTGTTGTCTCATTGCCTCAAGTTTATCAGTCTTAAATGTTTGAAAATTGGTTTTCAAGAGAACTAGGCCCTGAGGCTTCACTAACTCTAATATGTTACTTTTGGGAACTCTTTTTTTTGAGATTTATTTTTTTGGGAACTCTTAACCCAAAAAAAATACAATTGCCTGGTACAGTAAGTGGAAAACCAGTTCTCTGTTTCAATTAACAGAAAGTATCTAGCTTATTCCTGGTTGCAGGGAACAGGGGATTGTTCCTTTCTGTATGCTGTCTATTAGTATTGTGTATTATTGATATCTCAGACCTGTATTAGCAGTCTACTTCTTGTGACAGGCTGTACAGATCAGCAAGTTTGACTATCGACTTGCAAATAAGCTGGATACAGATTTGCAAAAGCTTAGATGCAGAGTTAATTATCATGCCCTGAAGTTTGCGGACCCTATACTCAAAATGGGTGAGAAATTGGTCCAGCGAATGAGAATGAGTAGCAAGCATTATATTGCCCTTCACCTAAGGTTAGTCATAAGATCTGACTTGATTTTATGATTTCTATTTCTTATTTTATTTCTTTGTCTTTTCCTTCTGTCTTCCATTTCCTTATGACTGCTGCTAGTTATGTCCTTCAAGTGCAGAACCAAATGTCATGTGCTGGATATTTTTCTTAGTGTGTTTATTGCATGTTTCCCTTCAGTAAGCTGAAGAGTTTGTCTACTACAATCACTGTTCACGGATGCTTCTATTCTGAAATGAAATGTCATGTTTCATTTGTAACATATGATGATTTTGTAGGACTTTGGTCCTTGAACAAATTGCATATGAGATGACTGGTTCAGAATTCATGATAATCTACTTGATGTATTCTTTTTTTTAGATGACATGTTCACTTTGGATGGGGAGAAATGCTTTGCTGCAGTTTTGGGAATTCTAGAGAAGAATAAGTTTGCTTATAGTGTATTGTTTACAGGTTTGAACCTGATATGCTTGCATTCTCTGGATGCTATTATGGTGGAGGGGATAAGGAGAGGACAGAACTGGGAAAGATACGGCGGAGGTGGAAAACTTTACATGTGAGATCCCGAAAATTTCAGATTTTGGTCATTTCCTAATGTATCATCAGGACAATGTAGTTTAAAGATTTGACTGTTTGCTCCACTTAAGCATTTTTTCTCTATTTATATCTCTCACTTCTGTTCAGATTTTCAATTTTTTACAATACAATGTAAAAGATCTATCGAAAAAGAGAAGTAGTGTGACACTGGATAATCTGGGAAATAAACTGGATTTCTGTCATCCTTGTGAGGCCCAGGTCTCTCTCTCAGCAGTATTAGGAGAAAGAAGTGTGTGTGTGAGAGAGAGAGAGAGAGAAAATTGTTTTTATGAGATATTTTTAGGTTAATGGAGGCAATTTCCCTGTCTTCCACACCATATGATAGAATAGTCCAAGGACTGAAGTGTGTGTAAACTCTTTTTTAATACATGTGCAGAACAGCAACCCGGAAAAGGCGAGGAGGCAAGGAAGATGCCCTCTTACTCCTGAAGAAGTTGGCTTGATGCTAAGAGCACTTGGATATGGAGAAGACGTTCATATTTACGTAGCATCTGGTGAAGTGTATGGAGGTGAAGAGACATTGGCTCCATTAAAGGCCCTCTTTCCAAACTTTTACTCGAAGGACACTATTGCCAGCAAGGAAGAGTTAGAACCATTTTCTACATATTCTTCTAGAATGGCTGCTCTTGACTTCATAGTTTGTGATGAAAGTGATGTATTTGTCACTAATAACAACGGAAACATGGCAAAAATTTTAGCAGGACGAAGGTATACTGCTTCCCTTTCCGGCCTTTCGAATTGTTCTGCAAATTTTATTTAGATTCTGGCTAATATATCTTTTCTTTTGATGTAGGAGATATTTCGGTCATAAACCTACCATTCGCCCAAATGCTAAGAAACTGAATCGTGTGTTCCTAAATAGAAATAACATGACAACGGAGGAATTTTCTTCTAGAGTTCATACGTTTCAAAGAGGATTCATGGGGGATCCCAAGGAGGTGAGGCCAGGGAGGGGTGAGTTTCACGAAAATCCATCAACATGCATCTGTGAGGATGCCGAGGCTGAAAAAAAAATGGATTGGGATCATCGAAAAAGTGGTAAAGACAATGTAGCTAAGAAGAAAGATGGTGATGATAGGAAGAAAGATATTGAGGCAGTTGTTCATGATGAAAATGTAGACTATGAGCCAGAAATGACTGATCCTGAGGATGAAGAAGAAGATGAAGATAACCCTCTGGGCGAAGTTTCACTTGGTAGCTCCAAATCTGAAGCTTTGTCCAATGGAACAAGTACCGATTATGACTCTTCCATGTCTGAGGATACTGAGTTGGACGAGTTGCTTTCAGATTGAGAAAGGATCAAAGATTACCTTTCGAGAGGTTTTGCCTGTATATAAACCAGCCTTCCTTAAAAGAGTTCTTCCGGCATTAACCTATTTTCAACGTGTTCAATTGTGAATGCCCGTGGCTGAAGCCTTGACCACACAGTAACGCGGATCCACTTCTCCTTGAGATATTCAGTTAAGAGTTATCGGGCACGAGCTTGAACTCATAGTAGCTTGGAGGCCTATGATCCACAATGCTTGAACTCGTGAAGTGTAGCCGCTTAGATGGAGCTCCCCGAGGGAAATTTTTTACTGGTATAGTGTTCAAACATTGTTGTATACATAGACGAGAATGTTAATTGCTAATTTACTTGCTAACTTTGTTGGGTAAACATTTGTTGAGAGTTTAAATATAACCTGCTTTAGTTGTTCTTTGAATGTTTCTGGATTTGTATTTTTGTAGATACTTAGGTTTGACGATGACATGAGTTGAGCTCGGAGTAGTGATGATTTATGTAGCGGATTTAACTTGTTGAGGATTGAGGCATAGTTATCGATGTCGTAGATACATGAGTTTGAACCAAATTGTGTTTAGTCTTAGAGAGGCATCAAGAAAAGGTTCAAACATCAAAATATGACATACTTGGTAAAAAGTTATTTAGATATTACGCCAAATAAATAAATATAAGATGCTATTATTTTTTATAAACATATTTATCATTTAATCATTGTTAGGTGTTATTATTCTTATTTTAATTGTTAAAATTACATTATTTTGTCCAAAATAAACAACACGTGTGAGTTTTCTACCTAATGTACTTGTAGGCATAGGCAGAGCTAGGGATTTGGAAGGGGTTCATCCGGACCCTTTATAGAAAATTTAAAATATATATCGAATTTCTTTTAACATCTTCCTATATTTATTTATTACAATAGTTTAAATCTTTCTTGTTCTTCGATTTTGGTTATTGCTTGTATTTTTTGTGCTTCTACCATTATATTATTTCGTTGTTACTACTATTTTTTCTCCTATATGTTCTGTAATACTCTCCATTTTTGTATTTATTGCATAGTTGTTACTGCTCTCATAATTGTATTTTTTTTCAAACAGTCTGACATGCTTTATTTAAGATGAGCGTCTAAACAATTCTTTTTTTTATTTCTACAAGGTAGGAGTAAGATTTACTTCCGCTCTATTCTTCCCAAACCCCTATAAAATTACATTGAATATATTATTGTTATATATATTTTAAATTTTTATAGTAAAAATTTTGACTCCGCTACCCGTTATTTGTGGGGTAAGGCTATGGTTGGTTGTGACTTGTGAGTAAGTTTAGTATAGGCCAATTGTTAGATTTCCCCAACCACATGATTTTGTGCCCCCTACTTGTGTGGGGTTTGAAATTTTGTTCACCCCTTAACTCAGCCTAATATTTTGTAAACAAAGCCTTTTTTTTCTCTTCTTGTTGAGCTTATCCAAATAGACACGACATATATAATACTTCTTCCGTCTCAATTTATGTGACATTTTTTATTTTTTGAGAGTCAAACAGTTTAAGTTTGAATGAAAATTTTGCGCGTGAAATCTTCAAATTTTTTAAAATGAAATTTATATATTTGTAAACTACGTAAAAAGTACTATAAGTCACAATAATTGCCAATTCAAAATAATTAAAAGCTATACGAAAATATTTACGATAAAAATAGACTTGTTTAAATTTTGAAATTCAAAAAATACCACATAAATTGAGACGGAGAGAGTACTATATTTGATTATCCACTTCTTGTACTTCAAACAACATTTTACTCTTTGTCCTATTCTCTTATGTTACAAAAATCATGTGGCCTTGCTTTCACCATGAAAAATGTGTGTCCCAGAGTCATGTGGGAGAGTTAGGAGTTTCTAACGTCAACATGTACCTTATGCCATATCACCATAACACTTTTTGTTGATGTTTCATGTCACACGTGTGTATTGACCACTAATAAAGCGGTAACGGTAGCTTAGTTACCGATTAGAGTTATGTAGTTATTAATAAGGTAAAAATTAGAAACGTAGAAATTAGTTGTGTACTAGATAGTAATCATATGAGTATTTAGTTATCTATGTATTAGTTATAATACGTAAATACAATTCTTTTCTAACTAGCAACCAAACGATCCCTTTGTTTTGGAAATATTTTATCCAAAACGGGCTATGCTGAGCCATGACTACCTGGCAAATCTTGTGTGGCAAAATGATTTACAAAGCCCATTGAACCACTCTTATAAATTCCTTAAATTAAAAATATTTCATTTTACATAATTTTACAAATCATATAATTTTTTAATTTTTTTTTTTTGCTGATTTTTTGAGTCCTCAGTTCAGTGTAATTCTTGCTCGATTTTCCACTTCCCATTTTCAATTAAACTTCGAACTCTTCAATCCCATAAAATTCAATTTTCAGTGGCATTTTCGTAAATAATTGCAATGGCGGCGGCAGCGACGGGTTCTAATGGGTTAACGGGTCCATTGGGAGGTAAGCTCAAAAGGGTCGATGTAGGAATTGGATTTGTGGAGTTACAGAGGAAGAGAAGAAGGGTTTTTGGTGTGAAGTGTTGTTGTTCGGGTTCTGTGGTACCAATTAGAGGGATTAATGGGTGTGTTGAGAAATGCGAGAACTGTAGATTTGATAGTAAGAAGAGTAGTCATAGTTATCGGGTTAAAGTGCAGGCTTCTTCTTCTTCTACTATGCCGTTTGCATCTCCAAAGTGAGCTATTTCTCCCTTCAAAGTTTCCTCTTTTGCTTTTGCTTTTGCTTTTAGTATTTATATGATAAGGGTAACTTAGTAAGTGAATTCATGTAAAAAATTGTTGATCTTTCATTATGAGATAATTCGTGATGATTACTCGACTAATATTAATGATGATAGTTCGACTAATAGTTTTTATCTCAGAAAGTCACTTTCTTTGTTGGAGAAAATTTAAATCAAGAAGAAAGGTGACTTTCTTATATATGAGTTGACTGACCAACTGAGAAATCAATTTAATTTATGTCAAGTCACCTCATTATAGGAGTAGATGACAATCCATGTTGAAGGAGGTAGCTTTACCATGTATATACTCTATATGTTAGAGAAACTTTGTCATAGAAAATGAATACACGATAACGAGCAACAAAGCAATTACTCCATCTGGTTTAATTTGTTTGTATGGTTTTGACTTGGCATGGAGTTTAGAAAATTAAAGAAGACTTTTGAATTGAACTAAGGATTGTACCAAAATGTTGTTTAATCTTGTGGACATAAACATGTTAGGTGGAAAGTTGAAATTAAAGAGTTGAAAATAATAAGGAAAGATGCATTCTTTCTTAAACGGACGTAAAAAGAAAGTAAGACAATCAAATTAAAATGGAGGGAGAACTACCTAAGGTGCGACTAGCCTTGGCATAAAATCTGTAGACTCGTATGTGCTTTGGATACTTACAAAATCTCATTGTCGTCCGAAGTTGAAGAAGGGTGTTATTTATTTAAATACAAGAAGAGAAAGTAAGTTGAGCAAAGGTGTTATCTTTTGTTAAAGGTCTTTCTTTTCTTTCTTTGCTTTCCAAATGCACCACATTGTAGCTTTACAAACATTTATTTAATGATTTAGCATTTGATTCATGTTCTCTTAGCTTCTAGCTGTCTTTGACTGTCTTATGCGTGAATATTTTCAGAACTTATGTAGCATGTCATTCCTTGAATTCTCCATTTTGTGATGGACAAGAGATGATTCATATCCTCTACTAAAGCTCCTTGTAATACGTTTTGCTAAAACCTCAATAGCAGGTGATTTGGGGGGTTTTCCATTTATATTTTATAACTTTGCCATGTCTTCAACCCCATTGTGAACATCCTAATTGATTCACTGTGAACGATACATCTGTTATCAAAATCGACATTGATAATCTGTGAAATTTTCGCACGATTCATCTTTTGTACACTATATTCATCTTACCGGTGCACTTTTCTATCTGTGATCACCAAATAAACAATTAGTAGAAGTATCCTAACACCTCACACTTCTTTTGGATTGTAAAACAAAATAAAATGCTTGTTTGTTGCCTATAAAGGAATATATTTGTGTTGCTTGGTATCACTATTGGGTTTGAACTATTGAAATGGTCGCACTTAGCAACGTCTGAGAATGGTAAAGGTCCATAACCTGTCTTGAAGGCCAATCACCAACCTATTTATTGTATGCTTGGTAGCCTTGATATGAAATCTTAAAAGAGTCTTTGAGTTTCTGGGATACTAGAAGATGTTCACCTCAACTTTTCTCTTTCCCTCCTTTGCTATGATTGGTTGGAAAGGGATGTTTGTTTGTTTGTTTGCTTGTAATAGTTTTTTATTTTGTAGATCCCGATTTGCTTCAAAGCAAGAACAGTTCTTCCCACGCTGCACTCCAAGAAATTCAGGCCCTCAATCTCATGACTCTCCACCAAAACGAGGTACTATAATGGTTCCAGCCTCCTTGGCTATCAGAAACTTTTCCTTCACTCTAGATTTAATCAATATCCTCTAATATTTTAAGGGCCTTAGTGGTACTTGATGATAAATTTTCTGCTTTCTTTTTAGACACTGGTATTGCTAACGAGAAAGAGTGGGGTATCGATATGCTAAACGAGAATGTCAATGAATCTGGGACTAACGAAGATGGTAGTACTTGGTATCGAAAGAGCGGAGAAAACAGTGGTGAAAATGGATACCGATGCCGATGGACCAAAATGGGTGGGAAGAGCCATGATGGTGCTTCAGAATGGAAAGAAATGGTACACATGTTATTAAGGTTGTATTGCTATGGATGTCAAAAGATTGTATGTAAGAAACATAGACAACCAGCATGCTATGTTTAGAACACTCATGCATATTATTGAGCTTCCTCTCAAGCTAAAGTTTGCGCTGGTTTTCACTTTCTAAGGAACTAACATGTAGTTGGAAAAAAGTTAGTGGTTCGCATCTAGGAATATCCGTTGTGGATTTTCCAGTTAGTCCTAGTTACAAGTTAGTAAGCCAGATTGATCAATCTTTTGCTTATAAATTATGTGCATACTATATTAGCCTGAGATCAAATATGCAACTAGATAAGCATACACTGGGAGGTTCTTGTTAATTGCTGATCTGCAATATTAATTTGTTGGCATTTCTTTATAACCTTATCAAGTATCATCCCAGGTGGATTCATTTAATTGGATTTCTTGATCTCCTTGACAGTGGTGGGAAAAAAGTGACTGGACTGGTTACAAAGAATTAGGTAATACTAATTTTTGTCTTACAGTTATATGTTGTAGCCATGTTACTCATTGATCGGAGTATTGCTTTTAGTCAAGCAATGTTACTTGTACTTCTGGGATTCATAATTTATTCACATTTTTGTTTGTTTAATGATTGTAGGCGTAGAAAAATCCGGGAGAAATGCTGAAGGAGACTCATGGTTGGAAACGTGGCAGGAAGTTCTTCATCAAGATGAGTGGAGGTTGTATCCAACTTTTTTTGATATTATATGCTGCTGAATCCTCCTGCTTACTTTGGTGTTTTAATATCACTGTATTTAATGCTTTGACAAAACCATTACACATATATAACACTGCATTTTCTTACTGCAGCAATTTAGCTAGGATAGAGAGGAGTGCACAAAAACAAGCAAAATCGGGTACAGAAAATGCTGGGTGGTATGAGAATTGGTAAGACTTGTGAAATGGAAGATTCATAATCATGTTGTCATGAACAATGAAATAAACTGCAAATATGGTGTTAAATCGCATTATTTTGATGCAGGTCAGAAAAGTATGATGCAAAGGGTTGGACAGAGAAAGGAGCCCACAAGTACGGTAGACTGAATGAACAGTCGTGGTGGGAAAAATGGGGAGAGGAATATGATGGAAGAGGATCTGTCCTTAAATGGTATGTTGTTTTTCCGTTATCCAAAATAAAAAGGTACCTTATTTAACTTGTTTTCTTAAAGACGAAAAGGAGTTGCTTCAAGTTGTCAGATACGCTGGACTTGTTGGAAATTTTTAATATGGAAGTTGGAATATTAAACCTTTTGTACTTGTTGCAGTGCCTCCTTGTTACTGATTTTCAACAAAAACCTTTACTTCATAAAAAGAAATATTTGAATGAGAAAGCTAAGATATATGCCTTCACTAATAGTATAATTGAGGTCGATAATTTGCTTTATAAGATAATAGAGTGCTTAACTTCTTATGTATGACCTATTTGTGGCTAACAAAACGATTCACCTCCGCATTTTGTTGCTTATAGAATTATATACTCTCTTTCTCAGGACAGATAAGTGGGCAGAAAGTGAATTGGGAACAAAATGGGGAGATAAATGGGAGGAGAAATTTTTCGCTGGCATTGGTTCACGGCAAGGGGAGACTTGGCATGCATCACTCAGCAGCGAAAGTAAGTCCTATCTTGTTTTTCCCATTGTTGTCAACAGTTGCATAATATATTTTATGCATACTAACCTTTTATGAAATGTCTTACACATTTTAATTCCTATAAAATAAGTGATTATTCAAGCTAGAACGGAATCCATCAAACATGTATCACTTGCTATGCTCGTAAGATCTGAGTTTATAATTTTAAAAGTAATACATTCAAGTTTAGGGGAAAGTTAACTGTTCTTTTCTTGAACATTGATGTGATATTAATCCCGAATTTTTTCGTTGTAATTATCCAGGGTGGTCAAGGACATGGGGAGAGGAGCACTTTGGAAATGGGTAATTTTATGACTATACATTCAATGTTTCATCGCGTTCTATGATATCTTGCAAGTTGCATATTGATTTCCTCGATACATTTTCCTCTTTGAAACCCAAATGATAATATAAAAAAGACTCAAGGTATGCCCCTTTAATCTCAATCAGCAAGGTACACAAATATGGCAAAAGCACAACTGGTGAAAGCTGGGACATGGTTGTGGATGAAAAAACGTACTACGAGTAAGTGAGAGTCATCTATATTTGCATGTTTTCCTTTATGTTCTGGTGGTATACATTGAAGTAAAACGTCTTACTTGTGATTTAAGGGCTGAGCCTCACTACGGGTGGGCAGACGTGGTAGGTGATTCAAGTCAGTTATTCTCTATACAACCTCGAGAACAACCTCCTGGTGTGTATCCAAACATTGATTTTGGGTCATCTGTGCCTCCAGACGATGAATCCCCTCCAACTAGATGATTTCTTCCCAGCAATACTGGAGAGAGATAGTAGGTATGTTGGTATAGTCGTGACATATGTGCAATTTGGCATGAACACCATCGTAAGTCTCCTCCAACTTCTTCACAGTGACAACGCGTCATCTCATTCATCAAGATTGATTCTCAAGATAGCTAGCTAGTTTACATTTTTTTTCGAAATTTAGTTGTAATCTTTAGCTAGTTGCTACTGTTAGTTTATTTCATTCTTTCAGCATTGTGGTATTTGCATTGTTTTTTTGTATGTTTGACATGTTCTAGAGGTCCTTTTGGATCTCTCAAGTCAAAATTTTGACACTTCTTCGTTCAACTCTCTCAGTGGCTTTTCCATTCTCAAAGAATCTTGCATTATCGATTTCAATAATTCTCGAATTATGATTTGAATAGTAAAACCTATATTCTTTAAATTTCTTTGGATAATGAATTAATCACTTACTATTCGAATTTTACGTTTAAGATTGTCTTTCTTATAATATCCTTTCCTTTATTAAATAAAATATACCTATCTTAAATTCATTCACAAACATATTATTTGATGCTTTCTTCCTCTTATACTTGTTGATTTAGCTTTAAATATTTAATTACCAACTACTTCAACTTATAAGGTTGATCAAATTAACTATTCAGAATTTCGAAAAAAAAAAGGTGGATCTAAGATATAACCTAAATTTAACCTACTAACTTTTATCATTGAAACCGTTTAACTTTTAAAACTATAGGTCCAACTATAGATACACTTTGAGACATCTATATTTAAGTATCTTTTTAAAGAATATATAACACTAATATATACGATTCAGGAAGAAAAACTTAGATTTATGCGAACTCCGTGAACTCCATCTAGATACACCCTGATCAAATAACTCTTTTAAGTGTAGAGAAACAAGTGTGAGATGAAATACATGAAGAACGAACCATGCATAATCATTCTTAATGAATTTGAATAACTAATCATCATTACAATATATCATAGTTTTTCTTTGAGTAGATAGTATATTATTATTATTATTATTCCTTTTAATCTTCAATAGACAATTAAAAGTTCTCAATCAAATATATTTTTTAACATACAAATATATACGTTTGACGACAAATTATTTTAAAAAAAAATAACTTGCTCATTATGTTCACTATTTATGAAGTAATTGATTCACTTTAGACAATAAGCTCTAACAATTATGACAGTCAATTATTCATTTATTTTCATGTAATATGTACTTATCTCATTATATCAAATACAAATAACAAAATTTAATGATGTATACTATTCATAAATACATTAATTTGACCACTTTGATGACAAATTACATCACTTTATGCATTTGTATTCTTTTTCAACAAACTAGTTTAATCACTTTAATAACTAATAAATGTTTCTCATTAAGATAAACTCATCATTAAATTTAATTACCCCAAAAACAACTTACAAAAAGAAAAAATTAGACCATTAATTTTATGGGAAAATCTAATAAATAACATTTTGACTATTTGAGAAAAATCTAAGAAATAAGACTTTATTCACAATTTGTTATCTATAGATTTATTATCTTTTGACCAATTTCTCATTTTTTTCCTATAAAGAGATTGCTTAAGTTTTAAACTAAGCCACACCACCATTTTCATTACAGCTTTTCACTTCACTTTTCTGATATGATTAACAGTGATAACAACTGCGGTATCACTGGAAAACGAAAGAGAACTGATCAAACTCCGATTCAGTTCTTCGTTCGTTCTTTATCCAAAACAGAAACCTTAGTTATTCGAGGTTATTCTAATGACTCCATAGAAGTAACTAAAAATAAAATCAGAATGATCACTGGTATACCCGAAGATCACCAGCGACTAATCTATAACGGAAAACAACTCTCCTGTCAATCGGAGACATTGGCATTTTACAACGTGCAGAATGATACCACTATTCATTTAGTTGGTAAAATGCCAAGAACATATCATCTGCAGACATGGAAAATCACTAATGAGATAATTTCAAAAATCTCCATGATTTTGAAAAGTGATTATATTTGTCATTCCTCGGATTTGAAGAATATGGCAATGTTGATGAAAGAGTTCACATTTATGATTCTAAACAAAAATGCTGAAGAAGCATGTAACAACATACAGTTCTTTATTTCGTCGTCTGCTCCTGCAGATTTGGTAATACTCTATATGTCTCGGGATAATACTAAAAAATCAATTGCTGATAAATTTATTCATAGATTCATCAATTCGATGATGAGTACTGATTTGCCTAAGAAGAGATACAGTGGATGTGCTCGATTGATATTGGAGTTTTGTAAGCTACTGAGAAGAGTTGTTGGGCTTGAGGATCCCTTGTATAGATTTTGTCGGAGTATTATAATGGATATAGTAGAGGCCATTGAAATTGCAAGGTGCAAGAAGAATGTTGCTGATGAATTGTTAGAATTGAATGATGTTTTTATGATTGTTCGTGAGGTTGTAGTTGCTGATTTATCCCGTGAGTTAGAACTGAGTATGGGATCAATTGAGTCTACGGGGTTATCACTGATAAGCATTGTGCGTGATTTCACTGAGTACATGTGCTTGGTGAGGGCATTGTTGCAACAACCTTTCGACTCTTTAAATGGTGAAGCAGTGTATAACAGAGAGTACATTGAGAGCTTGCATCGTATTTTATCTGACTTGCATATTATGTTATATGATTTGCTAGATAAAATAGAGCGGTGTTTAAGGAAATTGGAAGATCAGCTGAGATCTATCAATGAAGCTGGCATGCTTATCGTATCGTGGTGGTCTCACTATCTTGTAATATTGAAAGAGTTAAACAACATTAATTCTGAGTTGTTTAACAACTCAGAGGTTTTTTGGCAGAAGTTGAATCAACAAAAAAATTCACTGTGCTTTCTAATCGCGATGTTTGCAAACAGTTTTGATGATTATCGGTGGATCATTGAGCACAAGGAGGTAACAAATTTCGAAGTACGTAGACATCTCACAATGATGATGCTTGAAGAAGCTAGATTCGGAAACAAGGAGAAGTCATATGAGATGCTCATCGATAGGTCTGTGCTGTTGGATGAAACTTTCGAATATATTGTAGATCAGGATCCTGCATTGCTGCGAGGAGATCTGTTAATTCAATTCAAACATGAAGAAGCTGCTGGGCCTGGAGTGTTGAGAGAGTGCTTTTTCTTGGTATTTCGAGAGATGTTCAATCCTCACAAGGCCCTCTTTGTTGCTTGTCCCAATGATCGAAGAAGGTTTTTTCCAAATTCAGGTAAGCTTTTATCGCCTTTATGCACAAATTTGCATCAAACTAGAATTAACTTTAGTCATTAATATATATTTTTGGTCGCAGCATCTAAGGTGGATCCATTACACCTCGAGTATTTCACCTTCTGTGGTAGAATGATTGCATTGGCATTAATGCATAAAATACAAATCGGAGTTGTATTTGACCGTGTATTCTTCTTGCAATTGGCTGGAGAGGATATTTCATTGGAGGATATTCGGGATGCAGATCCCACCTTATACAGTAGCTGCAAGCAGATACTCGAGATGGATCCTGAGACGGTGGATCAAGATATACTTAGCTTGACCTTCGCTTATGATGTTGAAGAATTGGGGCCCAGAACAACAATCGAGCTTTGTCCCGATGGGAAAGATATTGTCGTGAACAGTAAGAATAGAAAGGAGTATGTTAATCTCCTTATTCAACATCGTTTTGTCACATCAATTGCTTCGCAGATAGCTCATTTTTCTCAAGGTTTTTCAGATATAACTACCTCAAATATCAAAACTTCCTTGTTTCGGAGTTTATATCTTGAAGATCTTGACAAAATGCTTGATGGGAGTGGAACTGCTATTTCTGTTGAAGATTGGAAAGCACATACAGATTACAATGGATACGAAGAAAATGATCAACAAATATCCTGGTTCTGGAAGGTAATCATATATCATCACATTATTTACAACTTCACACTTTAACCCGCTCTTTCTAACACATATTTATTTATTTTCTTTCCTTGCGTGCAGATAGTTAAGTGTATGTCTGTTGAGCAAAGAAGAGTGCTTCTTTTCTTCTGGACTTCTATAAGGTATCTACCTCTAGAGGGTTTTCGAGGTTTAGATTCTAGACTTTGCATCTCTAGAACCTCAGAGTCTTGTGAACAATTGCCTTCTACACAAACATGTCTCTACCTGTTGCGTGTTCCTCCTTATTTTAACAGGGTTATGATGCAAAATCGACTCGAAATGATTACCAAAGAACATATTGGTTGCAGCTTTGGTAACCTGTGATTGAACTTGCACACTTAGTCAGTTTATACTGTTGTACTCAAGTGTAGAATATGCTTACCTGTATAAAACTCTGACTTTTTTAATATAGAAGCAATGAATGTCATTCAATTTTAATTTCACCAAGCTTCAATATGTTTAACTTTTTTTCGTAACACAACTTTCTATGTAATAAAAGATTGATAACTGCATTTCCTTGTAATCATTCAAAAGTCAAATTAAACATGAGAAATCATGGGGGGTAAATTAATTTCTAGAGTTTCACTTTTAATGATAGAAAAATTTAATAATATGAATATACTTCAATTATACTATGGTCAAAGCTTTCATAAAGTTACACAATTGAAAATAGCCTAAAATCGCAATTGTTAGCAATCTGCAACATTTACATTACGTTGTTTGATTTAAATTAAGATATTTTCTTATTACCATATAGTGTATATATATATAAGAACAAGAGGAGGGTTCTGTCTTACCTCAAAATACAACACAACGATAAAAATTTATCCTTCGCAAAATTTACCATATAGGAGATTACTCATCATACACACCTAATCATATTCATAGGCATCCGATTAAATCTTTTTGCGATATTTTAGCTAAATTTGATTTGAAACATACAAAAATATTAATATACATTTTTTTTTAAATCAAATTTTACGCTTTAGACAATCTTTCTGATAATATTCTTTCCTTTACATAATAAAACATATCTACCTTAAATTCTTTTCTTTTAAAATAAAAATCGAAGTTGTACAGTTACACTGTGAAGAGGGATTGACATTAGAACCTGCAGCCTCGACACCCCTAGCCATCTCATCACCCTGCAGTTTAAATCCTATTGGAATTTGGAACAGTTTGATACAACATTCACTTGCCCTGCTGGGAGATGAGAAGGCCGGGGTGTCGAGGTTGCGGTCCTAATGTCAACCATGTCTTTGAAAAGGGGGTGTCGAGGCTAGTTTGGTCTTTTTTATTCTTTTTTCTTTTTAATAAATTATAAATATTATCATTAAACAAATAAATACACGCATTCTAGGGATTCAGACCACCTTCCATAAAGGGAGCCCAATCCCTAAGGCCTTA